CTTACCACAAAGGACACAAAGAATCAAGAGACATGTTGTCAATATCAAAGCCAATAAAATTGTATGAAACGTCAACATTATTTTCAAGATTGTCTCAAGATTTTCATTAAGCCTATAATTTTTTCTTCTACGTGTATTTAAGTTTACTTCTTCTGCATCATCATTGTACATTCTGCAAAAAGTTATCAAGAGTAGATTGCTTATTATGGAAATTAAAAAAAAATTGTTAACCAAGAATATTTGAGACTATCGTACTTCGGTTTGTTTCAGTCCCACATACTCTATGGCATTCTAGTTTGGGGACATTCCCCTCATGTAGCTGATATTTTGACGATTAAAAAAAAGGCAGTTCGTAATATTGCTAATTCAAGATCCCTAGCTCATTGTAAACCTCTTTTCATACAATTAAAAATTCCAACAGTAATTAATTTGTACATTTTTCAAGTATTACTCTACACCAAGTCAAACTTGCATTCTTTCCCCCTTAGATCTGACACTCATGAGTACAACACTAGGGGTGGAGGCAAGCTCAGAATGAAACCTCATAGACTGGCTAAAACGGGTGACTCCTTCAAAATCAACTCAATTCGCTTTTTTAATAAACTACCTGACAGTGCAAAATTTGTTGATTACAATATTTTCAAAAATAGAATTTATAAATGGCTAATTCAAAATCCTTTCTACAGCATAAGTGACTTTATCAAGTTTAATTTGTTCTGTAATATTCAGTGTAATTGTGATTTGTTATAATAATGCTTTCTTTCATCTAAAAATAAATACAGATGGCATTCATTTTTTACTTGTTTTTATTTTTTAAAACAACATGTGATTTTAACAATTAACTATTAGTAATTTTGTTAGTTGAAAACAAAACATCAAGAAATGAAGATCCTATCTCTCTTTTGTACTGAAAAATGTAAAGTTCTGTGAAATCACTCAAAGTTTAATTGTTATTAAAACTACTTGTCAATTGTATCTCAGTGTTCTAATTTGAAGAATCAAACTCCGCTTATGTAAATAATACAGTCCACTCAATCCACTCTACACGCTACCGAAATTCTACATGGTCCTTCGGCCGCAGATCGTCTGAAATTCAGCTCTTTTGGTAACTATAAGCCACAATTAGTTCTACTCCAACTCCAACTTGCAACTTTAAAAATGAACTATTCACTCCTTTCTCATCACTAAGAAGTAAGAAGACTACCAAGACTACTGTAGATCTAAAAGGTCAATATCCAAAGGACTTTGATTCAAACTTTGATTCCTCTATATTTTACGCATATTGTTTTTTTTTTTGTAATTAATTATTTGCCATTTCAATGTTGTATCAAACTATACAATTTGATATTTTGTAATGCTCATAGCAACCACTAATAGCTAATGTAACAATGCCATCTGTTATCTGTGTCTCGTATTCAAGATAATGACAATCTCTAATCTCTCTCTCTCATTCTAGTTCCCAAACACTTAAACAATGAAATTCGTCACCCTCTCTAGGCAATTAAACTCAATTGCGAATCGCTTAGCCAAAATCCAAACTAAAATTCAAGCTTTAGATTTATTACCTGATTTGTCCCAAGAACAAATAAATAAGTTGAAACTTTTAGATTCAGAAACACTTAGAAAATACTCAGAATTTGAAACCTCCCTTGAGAAACTATTTAATAGTGACACGCTTCCCGATAATTATGAAGAAGATACACTCTTTCAATTACAAGATAGTATATCTGACTTATGTGTAGGAATTCAAACTCTCACGAAGAAACACCTTTCTCAAGATCATACAAGTCATAAACCTGTTCTAAACACTGACTCAATAACAAATACTCCATCAACTAGCCTACCACATAGGCCTAGTAGCTCTTCCTCAAACCAAGATAGCCACTCACTAAAACTCCCTCCTCTATCTCTCAAAACTTTCAATGGTTCACCGGAACAATGGTTATCTTATGTTAGCCTGTTTCAAGTATCCGTTTATGATAATGAAAACATATCTAAAGTAGAGCGATTTCAATATCTGCTTTCTACGCTTCAGGGAGAACCTTTTAATCTTATAAAGAATTTACCAATCACTGCTGAAAACTATGATGTAGCATGGGATCTTCTCCAAAAACGGTATCAAAACAGTAGGAAAATTATAAGCATACACCTCTACAACATAATAGACTTACCTAACCTAACTGACTCCTCCCTCAAGAACATTCGCTCGTTCATTTCTCAGTATAACGAAAATGCCCAAGCGCTTATTGCACTAGAGCATGCATGACATAGCCAAGGATAATATCTTGCTCTCAGCCATGTTACTACGGAAGTTACACGCAGACATTAACAAAAAGTTTGAAAGCTTACGTGTAAATTCTCAAGACCTACCAACCGTAGGTGAAGTAATAACATTTTTAGAAAATGAATGTGCTCAGAATGCTCAGAATTTAAAGATTTGTCCGCACAGGAAAGATACAATTTTGTGAGGAAAAACCCCCTCTGTTTGAACTGTTTAGGTACCGCTCATTCTGTCAAAGTCTGTAAGTCAAATAAAACATGTTTTCATTGTAAACTGAAACATCACTCCCTCTTACATCAAACTAATCATAGGCCTAATGGTAAGCTTAATCAAAAGCCTAAAGATAATGCTCCGATGACCAAGGAAATGAATAAAACATATGATCACCCTGAACCTCCCTTTGTAGCTGTCTCCTCCAACCCTAATACCACTATATTGCTAGCTACTGCATTGGTACACTTGAAAGCTAATAATAACGGTAACACAGTTGTAGCCCGAGCCGTTATTGACTCCGCATCTATGGTAAGCTGCGTAACAGAAAATATTGCTAACCTGCTTATGCTTAAACGGACATTTTCAAGTAATTCCAAGATAGATGGCCTATCATCAGTAGAAGTTAAATCTAAAGGTGTGTCAAAAGTTAACATATCGTCTCTTAGCGGAGAAGGGATTGCTAATAACAACCCGGTCCTTATTCTAGACAGAATAACCTCAAACCTCCCACACTCAGAAGTTCCAGTTAATGTTAAAGAATACTTCAAACATTTGGTCCTGGCTGATCCAACTTTTTATCTTTTAACTTTTTAACTAGACTTAAAGTCAAGTTGGTGAAGCGGGTGACTGTGAATAGCAAAATGCCGGTCTTCGCATCATGGTGGGAAAATGGCGATGGCAGATCCTTGTCAACGAACGGAGACGACGCCGTGGCTAAACCTAACCTACGCAGTCGCAGGAGTGCTGACAACCGAATCCAGGATTAGACCTCGTCCGGCTACGTTCATCTCATTACTACACTACTACACCAGATAAGATTTAAAAATTAATTAGGCCATATTACATAACTTATTATAAGTTAGGCTAGTAGTTGATCTAAAGAATTATCTTGAAGATTTAAGATTCGCACAAATGAATGTTTAATACTCTCTAACCAATTGAACTTTTCCTTTTTGTATTAATAAATTAATTTGTTATAAACAAGTGAAGTTTATTTTATTTGTAGAACAGCCCACAAGATCTGTAGCTTAATGAAATTAAGTATTAAATATAAACAGAGTAAATAAAATATTGACCTTTAAATTGAAAGTAAGACAAAACATACCTTTTGAAAAGGTAAACAAACAAACCAGAAATAAACGACACATGGTTTCCATAGAAACGGTACCTAAACACTAAAAAACAGAAGTTTCGGGAAATTGAACTTAAACACGAACACGAATAGGCCTACTGTCACTAGTGCACTAGAAACCTCACTAGAAACAAGGTTAAAACTTAACACTCTTTTAACCTCTTTCTTGAATGAAGTTTAAAAACTTTTAAAATAGCCTAAGTTTTTCATGAAAACATTTGTTCAGGAACACATATTTTTTAAACCTGGAATGAAAATTGTTTTTGGGATTTTATTTTTTGAATTTATTTTTTATTTTATTTATTTATTTTTTGAATTTTGCAAAGAAATTCTGTGACCTATCGGATAGCGGATGGGAAATAAACAAGCTTACCTTATTGAAGTATCTGAAAAGCGAAGCCAATATTTGGTTTAGGGAAATTGTTGCGGATGTTAGTACATTCAAGGGGTTTGAAAATGCGTTCAAAGCTAGGTACTGGTCAGAAAACATTCAATATAAGTTTGAAGACGAGTTGCATGGTCGAGGTAATTTTGTGTATGGTAAAACTGATTTGATAACCTACGTAGGAAAGTATTTTGACAAAAATCAGTATTTGGATAGGCCATTGACGATGGATAATTTCATTGTGAAAATATCACACCATCTGCCTAGGGACATAGGTAGAATTTTATTAGCGGCCAGGGATATCACATCAAGGGATGAATTGATGGCATACTTGAAACGAATTTCAGAAATCCCAGTAAGTATGCAATATGAATGCGCAGATACGCCGCGTAGACAATACGATAAGCCGTACTATAGGCCTAATAACAACAATGGTAGTAATAGACAGGTAGATCATAACAGTGAAACATAACAAGCAACTATTATGTCAGAAGATATGTATGACATGTTAAAAACAAATACCGGAGTTACCAGTGACAAATGTTTCCGTACAAGGGATAACGGGAGTTAAATCAAAGAAAGTAAATAAACAAATATACTTACCCTGTAGATTAAATGACTCAGTCTTTGACATTCCATGCTTTATTGTCAGAGGTATACCTACCATATTAATTATGGGCTGTGATTTTTTTGAAAAGTTCAAGGTGATCATTGATTTTGAAAGTAAATGTATGATTTTAAATAATGGCAATGAAAAAACAAAAGTAAAGTTAAGTAGGGGTAAAGAGAATGGATGTATTTGTGGGATTAAAGTGATATATTCAAATTTCTTGAATACAGTAAATAGCAATGAACAAATCGAACTGGCAATGAATAGAGTCATTGATTCTCAAAATAACAGTAAGAATCTCGATAATGAAACGAAAATACTAAAAGTAGGCGTCGATACCAATAATGGAATCAGTGAAATTATTACAGATGAGCAATCCTCAAATGTCTAGTGAGAGTATAAGAAAGTTGGCTGAGGTTTTGAATGATAATAGTAAAGTGAAGGTCCATCCCGAGCCCGTCCTTTCGCACACCTCCTTTTCGTCCACCAACTTTTGAAACAAATTACTGCACAGTTCGTCTATGTCGGTGGACCGGAGAACGGCGACATTCTTGGTCTTAAAGGCGCGTTGACACGTTTGGTCGTGAACGTTCGTGAATTCGCAATCCAACCACAGGTTGGTCTTGACGGCTGTCACGTGTTCCAATATGCGGTGCATAAGCTTTACAAGATCCTCAAACAATTGAGTCAGAAACTCCGGGATAGTAAGCCGAGAGGGTGCTTCGTCGCGTAATCTGTATGTTTTTAAACGTCCGTGAAACGCCGTCTCGACTTCTTCAAAATTCTCGGGTGCAATATTCCCCGGAATATCTGACGGTTCGTCACTACCACTACCACTAGGGCTGTAACTACTACCTTGGCTGCCAACGCCTCCATATTGATTGGATGGTCCCGCAGTTTGTGGATGCAGTGTCGGTAGTTGCGGCGGGGGTGGTGGAGGAGAATTCTCAGGTTCCCCCTTTTTTCGCCCTCTTCGACCTGCAGTGAAACCGCAAATGTCTGTTCATGCTGTACTCAGTTTTGAACTGGCGGCCGCACTCAGGGCACCGAAATCTCTTGAAGGATCTCATTGCCGGATAGTTGGCCTCCATATGTCTCCTAAGACAAAATCTTCTGTCAAAGGCTCGACCACAGTCCGGACAAACGAATCGCGTCGCGGGGGGGGGGGGGTGATGGCTGTGGGGGTTTTGGTGTCTGTTGCTGCTGCTGCTGCTGCTGCCATGGATGCCAGAGTTGATGCGGCTGTGGCGGCGGCGGTGGCTGTTGCTGCTGATGTGACATTTTAATTTATTATTCGATTATGTTATTAATTTATTTTATTTTTTTACTTTAAGTTAATCAAGTTCAATTTAACTGTGGCAGCGACTGTGGCAGCGAAGCATTGTACTTTGTGTCTCGCAGGTATCACCGAGTTCTCTTATGTAGTAGTGATTGTAGTGCACTCCTAATGAACCACCATCGGTTAGATATGAAGTTCTGTAGCTTTTTAGTTGGTTCGAAACTGGACCCAGCTAATGACCCAATGTTAATGATTGGGCTTTTAATAAATAATCCTGCTTTTTGATGGTTCATAACTGGACCCAGCTAATGACCCAATGTTAATGATTGGGCTTTTAATAAATAATCTTGCTTTTTGATGGTTCATAACTGGACCCAGCTAATGACCCAATTTCATTATTACAGATGAGCAATCCTCAAATGTCTAGTGAGAGTATAAGAAAGTTGGCTGAGGTTTTGAATGATAATAGTAAAGTATTTTCAGATAAGCCAGGTTTAATTAAAGGATTTGAAGCTAAGATTAATTTAACACAAGATAATCCGTTTGTAGGAAAGTCATATCCGATTCCATATCATAAAAGACAAGATGTACAAAAGGAAATAGAGAGTTTACTAGAAAATCAAATAATTGAAAGAACAAATAGTCCCTATAGCAATAGTTTGGTTGCAGTAACAAAGAAAGATGGTTCGACTCGAGTTTGTTTAGACAGCCGTAGAATAAATAAGTACATAATTAATGACTGTGAAAGAACTGAGAAAATTGAGACCATTTTACAAAGATTTTCGGGAACTAAATACTTAAGCTCAATTGATTTGACACAGGGATTTTTGCAGGTGGCTTTAAATAAAGAATCTAGAAAATATGTGGCATTTACCTTCAATGGGGCTAATTTCTGTTATCAGCGCTTACCTTTTGGTTTGAAAACCTCGTCTGCTACTTTTATCAAAGCAATGTCGCACATATTTAAAGGTGATTTTGATTCTTTTATGACTACATACGTTGATGATATATTGATTTTTTCCAAAACACTAGACGAACACATAGAACACATTAAATTCGTCCTTGGTAGATAAGCAGAATTCGGAGCCACAGTAAAGTTAAATAAATGTAAGTTTTTTCAGTCTGAAATCAACTTTCTAGGATACATCATTTCATCAGAAGGTATAACTATGGATCCGGAGAAAATAAGTAAAATTTTGGAATTAAAAGATCCTCGGAATGTAAAAGAATTACAGTCAGTACTAGGACTTATGAATTATTACAGGTGCTTTCATTATAAATATTCTGAGTTAACCAACAAATTTAGTCATTTGCTGAACGGAAAAAATAGGTGGAAATGGGGTAAAGTAGAGTCTGAAAACTTTGATGTTTTGAAAAAAGAATTTCTTAAGTCAGTTATGTTAAATCACCCAGATTTTCAGAAAGAATATTTCATAGGGACGGATGCATCTGACAGTGCGATTGCATGTGTATTATACCAGCAGGATGATCAGGGTAATGATAAAGTAATAATGTTTGCAAGTCGGAAATTATTGGAAACTGAAAAGGCTTATTCGATCACCGAGAAGGAATTGTTAGCTTTAATTTTTGCGTGCAACAAGTTTAGGGCATATCTAATAGGACATTATAGAATTGTCGTAAGAACTGATCATAAGGCCTTAACATTTTTGTCCAACTGTAAATTAACTCATGGTAGGCTGTTACGATGGGTATTAGTATTGCAAGAATTCAATTTAGAAATTCAATACATACCCGGTAAGGAAAATGTAGTGTGTGATATTCTCTCTCGAGTAAAGGAAGATGGTTTAGAAGACAAAGATAAGAATGTGGTAAAGATACTAAAAGGTAAATTAAACTTGGGTTTTAAAGAGAGTGAAGTAAAGAAAATCATATGTAATCTGAAGGAAAGTCAAATGAGTGATGACAAATATGGTAAAATCATTGAAATACTAGAATCTGATAACGACGAAATAGAGAAAGATAAGTTGAATAGGGTATTCAAACTTTACAATGGTTTATTGTTCAAAAACTCTAAGGATGACGATGAACTATGGAGAATTTGCATTCCGCAAAGTAAGGTAAATAGCATAATCGATTTTGCTCATAGAAAGTACGGTCATTTCGGTGGTCATAAAATTTATTTAACATTAAGAGAGTTTTGTGTGTTTAATAATATGGAAAAAGTAATCAAAGAACAGTTGAAAAAATGTGTTTTGTGCCAAAAGACAAAACACAGCAATAAACACAATGGAGGTAGTATACAGTCAATATCGGTTGATCGATTACTTCAACTAGTAAGCGTTGATTTAATAGGCGAATTACCGGCTGGGAAGTTCGGGGCAAAATACATTTTGTCAATGGTTGATATTTTTAGTAAATTTGTAAAGCTGTATGCAATAAGGTCAGCTAATGCAGTAACCATAATTAAAAAGGTTGAACATTTTAGTAACACAGTAGGAAAAATTGAATGTATATTGAGTGATAACGGTAGTCAATTTACATCAAACAAATGGTATGAGGGCCTAGATAAATTGAAAATAAAATACATTCATTCATCTGTTTATAATCCACAAAGTAACCCAGTAGAAAGATACAATAAAGAAATAAATCGGATGTGTAGGGCCTATTGTTATGAAAAACATACAAAATGGACTGAGTATTTACAATATGTTGAAGATTGTCTAAACGTGTCAGTTAGTAGCATAACCGAGCAAACTCCCTATACACTAATGTATGGAGTAAGGCCTGAAAACATGTTCAAGCGATTAGTGAATTTCCCTAATAGTCAGCTAAATTATGAAAAGCTGGTAAGGATAGTCAGAGATAAAACAAAGAAAAAGTTACTGCAACGAAAAGTTAAGTTTGATAAAAAAGTAATAGGTATGAAATATGAAATTGGGCAAAAAGTATTGATTAAAACACATTGTTTATCTGATAAGTTGGGAAAAAAGATTAAAAAGTTCTTTCAATTATATGAAGGCCCATATGAGGTTGTTCAAATAAAATTTGAAAATGCATATGTTTTGAAAGATATTGAATCAAATCAAATTAAGGGAACATATAATATAAGGCAATTAAAGAAGTTCATGGAGTGAAGTTAAGTGTAATTAGATCAAATTGGGTTTTTGTTTGTGAGTTACTGTCTGTTTGTACCCTTAAACAAAACGGAACAAGGTGCACGAGCCTATGGGAGTAGACTGACCATATGGATGATTCATTAGATTACAATAGTGGTATGGAGTAAGCAACGGTTATCATTACTAAGTCAATTCATGGGTCTTTGACAACAAGCTGAGATTTAGGAATTTGTTGATATAAAGTAGTTAATCCATATTGCTATTTAAACGATAATATTAAGTATTGTTTTCACGAATGATGATTTCATTTATGGTAATTGATGTTAGTTTTAAGTAGTGTATTTCAGCAAAATATGAAAATTGTATAGGTGATGTGAAGATACTATTCTGTTTTGAAGATTTTTTGATTTTAAGATTGTAAGATACTGAGAGATTTCCTATCCAGCAAATTATTGGTACTTATAATGTAATGCGATTTTAAGATTTATTGAAAAATAGTAGGCAAGTTAAAGCCGCATTAGTTGTCAGGAAGATATCATATTTGTCTATCCAGTGATGAGTGATATAGGAAAATTATAAGACAGGATTCCCAGTAAAAGTTTGAAGTATTTATCTGAGAATAAATTAAACATGCGTGGACAGTTTAATAGAATGGATAATAGTGGGACATTGCGGATCGGAGTATCTTGGGAGGAATAATTTAGTAGTAGAAATGGGAGATTTGAGTCAAAATAACAGAAGAAATGGTTTAGGAACTGAGCAATGGTACTTGATGATGAATTTCATTTTTTGACAGATTTGGTAATTATATGTCTTATAAAAAAAAAAAAAAATGTTTTACCACTTGGTCCCATAATCTTATGATTTTGTATGTTAATTCATTGTTGGTGTGTTAAAATTGTTTTGGTTTTGTTAAACCATAGTAGCAAAAAGGTTTTGAATAATATTTAGTAATAGGTAGGAGTATACCACACGAATCCTAGGGCCTCTATCGTATTTAGGATATGTTTGTGACTCATAAGGTGCAATAGAACATAGGACATTAAATATGATGCACTGCTGTTATCAAAGTGAAAGTGAGAAAGGACTCCAATGGACACTAGCATGATAATATTGAGTGGTGTTTAATCATATATTTAGAGGGTGTTTTAAATTAGAGTAATTGGACATTATAATCGAATCAAATGCCAATCACAATTAATTTAGAAAAATGGAACAATTTCATTAAGTAAATTGCAATTTAACTCATAAAATTCAGACTTTGTGTTCATTGCATTTAATAAATTGCAATTATTGTGTGTATTGTATTGAATAATTTCAGGTTTGATAAATATGTTGTGTTGTTTTGCCAATATAGGTAAGAAGTTTTCTTTGTTTTGATAATGTTAATATGGTTATTGTTTAAGGTAATTGAAAGCTCTTCGTAATGAATGAAATGAGTTGTAAGTTTATTTTGAAATGGTAATTGAAATATGTGTTAGAGTTTGATACATTTTTAAGATAGGTAGTGATAAAAAAAAAAATAAAATTGTAAAATGAGATGAACAGCCTTTGGAGGAAGTAGATTTTTTTTTTTTTAATATTCGTAGACAAAATTTGTTAAAAAAAAATCTAGGGGGTATCTGTGACAGGTCGATTATATCGGTTAGTAAATAAATAATTAAATTTGTATATTAAAGCTAAACATTATAGAATGGATTCAATGGTAGGACAACTTCGTGTGAATCCGTCAGTATTCGGAAAATCAATACGCGTGCGCGCTTGACTTCGGAACCAATCAGAAAGCAGATGCTCGGGGCTCCGGGTACGAGGCTAGAGAGCTTCAGCGAGGAGATACCGTAGCGGAAGGACGTGTTTTGGTTTTAGTCCATATTTCTTAAAACATAAAGACATCATTTGTTCCTACCACCGTGTCATAACTACCT